TTAGGTACTGTAATTACTAAACACCGATTTTAACTCAAAACTAATCAGGTCTGTGCATTGTCCTAGAACATCTATGTACCAAGATTTATTGAAATGTGATGATTAGTACTTGCGATATCAGTGTAAAAGCCAAAAATTGACTAATCATTATGCAAATTAGTTTAATTATATGCATGGATTTTTACCCCAAACTGATCACATCTGTTCATTAGTCCAGAGAATCTATTTACCAAGTTTCATCAAAATCTAATGAATGGCTCTTTAGATATCAGTTGAACAGTCAAGGAACAGCTAAAAATTAGCTAATTATCATGCAAATCAGGTAATTAATATGTATGGATTTCAACCAAAACCTAATCAAATCTGCGCATTAACCCAGAGCATCTATACACCAATTAAACTCAATTACAATGCAATACAATGTAGAATTGCATTTTAATTAAGTTTAAACAAGATTTGAATATCCCGTGACTGAACATAGTAATGTTTGCGATGCTTTGGTTTAGTATTGGGGATGGTATGGTACAATTATATTAATATAAACTGAACCATACCTTCCCCCGATACTAAACCTAAGCTACGCAAAACGTATTAATAATCGAATTAACTATTAATATGAATTACCCTTTTCATAGTCCTCGGAAGGTGTGTATGTCCTCGGAAGTTGGTATATCTGTATTTTGGCCCTCAGAACATATAGCAATGCAAGTACATACACACAAACACACACAGACAGGGTAACTGCAAAGACTCCCATTGTGTGCTTTGTACACTGGAGTCAAAAATATTGTGTTGATTATTTTATTTTGTTACAGGTGACAAAAGTATATACACATAATATCAAATGTACAATTATTTTGTAAAATTTACAAATTCTCTTAATATAAATACTTCTGATACTGTAAAATATTTTAGCTGGTATTAATTTTCACTGAAAAGACATTTTTGGTGTTTTGTATGGAATTGATTTACTCAGATTTTTCATTAGTTTAATGTAAAATATAGAAAACAAGCTATATTCGCTGGATCATTCTTTCACCGGAAATAGTGAAAATTAAAATATAAAAGTATTTTACAGTATTTATTGTCTGGAAGCAGCCCACATGTACATACAATTATATCTGTGTTATGTACAAATATTCCTGATTTTTCAGTTGTGTACAATATAAAGTATTAATAAAATAGAAAACAGACTGTCACCAATATTTAGATAATATTAACTATTGACACCCAGCTATCACAAGATTAGAAGAAGTTAGAAAAAATACACATTATCATTATACAACATTAGTATATACATTAGTAGAACAAGCATTAATCAAAGTTAAACTGTAAATAGCTCCTGTGTGATCAGAGCATGTATTATAAAGGTATAGGCTTTGCCTAATAAGTGAATGTAATTGCATGTAGGTCAATCCATCAATAAAATTGATAAAGATGTCTGAGAATCTATGACATACTGTATATGGAAACACATGATTTTGATATGGACATTTTGAAAAACGTGCAAGGACACTATACTTGTAAACAAAGGGCACTAATGAGGCACTCTATGAATGAGGTATTTCTAGAGGTCAGGGTTTGTCTTGTCTGCAGTTGAATAATTTTTGCTTTGATTTACTTATGGGTTTTTTTCCCAATGCGACTTAATTTCACTTGTTTTTTTTTAATTCTTGGTAATTAGTGTCATTAGCAATGGAGTAGTAAAAATCGCAATTAACCTCAGTGCAGCAAATCGATGATAGATCTTCCTGACGCAATGGACAAATTTCGGTATTTTCGCTGACAAGTAAAATCTGCTAAATTAAACCTACATGAACATGTTACAACAGATTGTTTCCTTGACAGATTCTTAAAATTAAATCATCAAAATAGTACAACTAAAAAGTCTGTACAACATACCTAGAAGAGATAAACATCGTAGTTTAATGTTCATCCGGACTTTGAGCCCTTGAAAGTAAGTGATCCAGCCCTTACATACGCCAACGATTGAAATTTGTTTAATTGCCATCAAATTATCACTCAAAAAAATATATTTTATTTGTGAGACGTGCTTTTGATACAAACCCTACACAAAACTACCGCCATTTTGTCTTCCTTGTCCTCATTCGGCAAAAACAAAAATCTCGCATATTTACTATTTGTTTAATGAGTGCATTTTTGTTTAAAAATAGCAAACAAGAATAAACACTAAGTAAAATAGGAATCAACTGCTTTGTTTTATTTGAGTAGGATGGAAACCATGCGAAAACAAGTCATTGTCAATGACACGTCCCCGTTCAGTTTATATTTGAGTGACATATACATTCAAAGCAGATCATGACCGAAATCTCAGACCACTTCTTTCAGTGGTCTGATCCGAAATGCACCTGAATATGTACAACACATTGTATGATGTGTGCGAAGTGTGGTCTTGATCGGTTCAGGCATGCCTGAGATATGGATGCTGAACTGTATTCAGTTAAAACCCGATTTGGAAAACAAAACAACGCGATTCAAGGTACCATAATGTACAATGTATGCATGAAGTGTGAACTAAATTCATTCATGGTGAATATGTGCAATTTTGACGATTTTTTGACCTTAAAAGAACTGGCCCAAATGCACAGGCATATGTATGATATAATGTATGATGTGTATGTGAAGTTTGAACTTGATCTGTCCAGGCATGTTCGAGATATGGATCGAAAACTAAATTCTTTAAAACAAAATGGCCGCCAGTCGGCCATTTTGAACTTGATCCAAAGAAAAATCGGTGTGCATCAAGCTTATATTATGTTTAATATATGCACTAAATCTGAACAAAATCCATCCATGCATGACTGAGATCCGGTTCCGGGATTATGAAAATATGTGATTTTGATGCATTTTCGGCCTTAAAATGGCCATCATTCAGCTATTGTTAAGCGGATCATGAAACAAATGCACATATCTATTTGTGACATGATGTACCATGCATGTGTGAAGTTTGAACTTGATCAATCCAGACATGTCTCGGATACGGATCCAGAACTGAATTCTTTAAAACAAAATGGCCGCCAGTCTGCCATTTCGAACTTGATCCGAAAAAAAAGAAGACGTGCATCAAGGTCCTATTATGTTTAATGTATGTACCAAATTTGAACAAAATCCGTCCATGCATAACTGAGATCCAGGTCCGAAATGGTGAAAATGTGCGATTTCAATGCATTTTCGGCCTTAAAAGGGGCCGCCATTTGGCTATCGTTAATGAGATCATGAAACAAATGCACATACTTATTTGTGACATGATGTACCTTGTGTGTGTGAAGTTTGAACTCGATCATTCCAGGCATGTCTCAGATACGGATCCAGAATTGAATTCTTTAAAACAAAATGGCCGCCAGTCGGCCATTTCAAACCCGACCCCGGATCCAGAATGGTGAAAATGTGCGATTTTGATGCATTTTCGGCCTTAAAATGGCCGTTATTCGGCCATCGTTAATCGGATCATGAAAAAAATGCATGTGCATATGTCCCATATAATGTGTGATGTATGAGTGAAGTTTGAACTTAATCGGTCCATGCATGTTTGAGATACAGGTGATCACGGACGCACAGACGCACACAGGGCAAACCATAAATCCACGTTTTCGGACTACGTCTGAACGGGGACAAACAAATGTGAAACATTACTGTCTGCTCGAGGAGAAGACACTGGGAGTCATGTGCAAAGAGATTGTTTACAAATTAGATCATATTGGAAGACTAGTGCTTTCAGTCACGTTGTGTAGCTTCAATGCGTAAAATAGAAAATTTATATCTTGAATAAAACTGGCAAACTTCCTTGCTGTTGCTGTCTGGTGTCTGCCTTATACATGGATTAAGTATAGACACGGGGATTCAGCTTTCCTTTTCTCTGCTCGTGGCGTCGCAATAGCGGTGAAGGTCAGTACTGGGTTGAACCGACAGCCATAGCCACTATATTTTGAATGATCATAAATAATTTTTGAACCCAATAGTAGTGATCACTGTGATTATTATATAATTTTATTGCAAAGTCTGGAAGGATACTGAAAAAAAATCATTGATTTCCTTCTATATATATATTCCTTCATGCTTGAAAGTAGGTCAAAGTATCGGCAGGTGAATACGAGTATCCAGATAATAAGTTAGGATCAATCAGTTCACACGAATTGCAAAACAATGGCCTGGAAACGGCCCAGCTTGAGGGAAACAGTATCGTTGAAAGAAAGAACAGTATCGGACCCGATACCCTTAAAAGACCTGATGAGAACACTGCAGAATCGCGGGCGAAATGAAAGATACACGGCTATTGTCTAAGCGACGCAGGCAAGCATTTGGCCATTTTATATAGGATCATCAAACCAATATATCTGTCTATCTATGACATGATGTATAATGAATATTTAAAATTTGAACATGATCAGTGAAAGCAAGTCAGAGATATGGCATGAGAACCGCATTCATTAAAACAAAATGGCCGTCAGTCAGCCATTTTGAATCTTATCTGAAAAACAAAATTATTTGCATCAAGGTCCCATAATGTCTAATGTACATACCAAGTTTGAACAAAATCCATCTGTAAATAGCCAAGAAATGCTTGATTTTTAGGATTTTTTAACATAAAAATGACTGCCATTCGGCCATCTTTAATCAGATCGTGAAACAAATTGACGTGCAAATGTATAATATCATGTACGATGTATGTGAGAAGTTTGATTGTGATTGGTCCAGACATTTCTAAGATACAGATACTGCGTCCGAATGAGGACTAATTAATGCAATAATTGACTAATTAATATGCATGGAATTGGACCAAAATCTAATCAGCGCATCTCCTCATCATATATTAGCTGTGTGCCAAATTTCATTTGAATTGAAAATGTAGATCTTGAGTTATTAGTGGTACAAATTTTAGTCACAGACACCGGTACCACATAATCTCCGTTTCACGGGAGCTAAAAATATGATTGTGACAAGCACTCTATACAAGTAATATACATTGTATAATACATTTACCGGTATATAAAAATATGAACAACCACTCATATCATAAGACAGTCATATTAAACTCTGGGTTACATTGTATATTCTATGGAAACTATAATTCTCTGTTACACCATCATTTAAGTGATACCACTGTAGTCCATCAACCAATATTCACTACATAAAGGTACTGTCTTTCTCGGCCACTGCATTCGGAGTGCTGGAGTAGGAAGGTGGACGAAACGATGCCTCCATGCCTGACTCAGCATTTTGTTGGCCTTGTGGTCCTGGTTGTTGTACAGCATATGTTTGTTGCTGTGGCATTGGCTGTGGTCCTGGGTGTTGTTGCTGATAGTTATAGCCAGGAACAACCATCATAGGCTGGTGTTGTATACCTGCAGATGTAGTAAAAACAGTGCAGATAATAGTATAAACAGTGCAGATAATAGTATAAACAGTGCAGATGTAGTATAAACAGTGCAGATAATAGTATACACGGTGCAGATAATAGTATAAACAGTGCAGATGTAGTATAAACAGTGCAGATAATAGTATACACGGTGCAGATAATAGTATAAACAGTGCAGATGTAGTATAAACAGTGCAGATAATAGTATAAACAGTGCAGATGTAGTATAAACAGTGCAGATAATAGTATAAACAGTGCAGATAATAATATAAACAGTGCAGATAATAGTTCTGAAGGCTTATTATGGGTTACATATGTTTTAGATTCCTAACTTCCTAACTACAGGGAAGTTCTATTATAAGTCTGGAAACGGGTCGGCGATAAATTGCCAAGAAGACATGGCCAAGTATTAATGCCAGCACAATATATGAATGTTAGTATTTGGGCTTGCATTACATTTGATTTAGGCAAGGGTTCTTCAAACCCGCCTATTCACATAGTTCATACCCACCATAGACTCCGGTCAGTCAAGATGACTATTTTGAATTGTAGGCATTAATCAGCGATTCTGCCGGTGACGGAGAGATAGAATCCAGGTCAGGGGAAGCCCCATCACCTCAAGATTCCTTTACCCCTTACGTCACAAACCCACGTGACCGAGGCCACCTGGCAGCACCACAGGTAGCCGTCCATCACTCTGGTTCCTTTCTTTCCGCCTCAATGGAAAGAGTGGGGAGGTTGGGGAGGGGACTCAGAGTCTATGGTGGGTATGAACTATGTGAATAGGCGGGATGAAAATCTTTTCCCAGTCCGGGATGAAAACAAACTCAATATCCTAGTTAAGACCCAAAAAAGGGTGGTATCTTACCTTGCCTGTGCTGTCCCCGGAGCAAGGAACCAAAATGCTGCTACGGTGACAGGGTTTGGTGTGCCCGAGAAAGCTAGACCCCAACCTAATTCTGGGGGTAGTAAGCTTTCGAAGTAAAGACCGAAACAGTTCTGCATGAGGGCATAGGCCGTAAAGCGGGACCTGGGAGCTCCCAGGGGAGTGCTGATGGTAGAGAAATCTGTCTTCTTGTCTATGCGCAGGGACCCTAGCGGTCATTCGGGCTGGGTCAGCAAACCAAGACTGACCCGCTACGACGGGACCCAACCTAGAGAGACCCTTATCAATGGATTCGGTGTCTCCTAGATGGTAGTTGATAAAGACGTTCTGCATTCTCCAGAAGCCTGCCGTCAATGTGTGCTTGAGGGGGGGGGGGGCTGACGCTAGCACTAGCGAGTTAGCAATCACACAGACCTCATGCGCTCGTTCTTGGTGTCGCTGCGAGCTCAGTGTCGAGGAATATAAAGTATTAGACCTCTAATGCAGTCTCAGTAAACCACCTGGTTATGGTAGTTGGGGAGGCCGGCATATCCTGCCTGCCTGGGCATAACACAAAGATGCGTGTCTAGCACCCCGTTCCAAATCCTAGTACGATTTGGTGGCAACTCCGTGCTCAAACCTGGTAGAGAAACAATTCCTCATGACCCTCCGGGCAGACAAAATTTGACAGCCGGGGGATGACGATCGGGTGAGGATCGTGTCCTGGGATTTGGTTCTAAGCGAGAAACCCGATTTGTGTCTTTAGCACAACTTGATTGTCCATAACGGCGGTACATCATCTGAGAAGGACAATGCCTCCCAGCTCTGGCCGACGCCTACCTGAGGAGAGGACCAGTAGGAAGACTATTTTCCACGTCAAAATTTGAGTGGTGCTTGATTGGAGAGGCTCAAAGGGTGATCTGCTTAGAGCGGACAACACAGCCGTCTGGAAAGCAGTAAATAGTCTCCTAATAATAGGACAATCGGTTAGTCTTATTCCCGTACATTTGAATGGTAGGGGACAAGGCCGACCTGTAGCCAATGATCGCTGCGTAGGACAAACCCACTTCGTCAAACAGGTTGACGAAGGAGCCTGCTACCTGGCCAATAGAGGGATGGTATCAATCAATCTCCCTTCCGCTACACTAACCAGTGTATGCTCGCAGCCTAGAAATGTAGGCTGCATTGGTGGAATCCCTGTTCGCCCTGGCCAGGACGTTGGCAGCCCGCTCAGATAAAGCTTTCGTATGTGCGGGTCTAATGAGAGCCTCTATGCGTGTAAGTGATACCCGCTGGGCTCGTGGTAGTGCGCCGTCTGGTTGGGACGGCAGGTCCGGTAAGTCCGAAAGCACTGCTGGTGTTTCGACTATCGTTTCAGACAGAAGTGGAAACTAGGCCCTGCTTGGCCAATTGGGTGCGACCAATGATAATATGAAGTCTTCTCCAGTGCCCGGTGGACTAGTGGGAAGGGAGGAAAGGCGTACACAACTAAGTGGGTCCGCGGGTAGCAAAGCGCCTGGAGTCAGCAGAAGTGTTACGCACATCGGGAGCTTGGTGTTCCGGGGTGCGGCAAATGGTCTAACCTTGGACCGTCCACAGCCAAAACAGCCTGGAGGCTACCCACTGGGGTATCAGCCACTCCGTGTTCTGGAGATGGAGTCGCCTTGAAAGGGCATTGCCAGACTGTTCCTCACCCCTAGAAGGTGGTGTGCAGTTAGCTCCACATTGTATTCCTGGCACCAAAGGAGGATTTTGCTCCACTAGGACTGTAACGATGGGAAAGCGTCCCCCCTCCTTCTTGAAGGAGACCACTGCTGCGTTGTCTGTGCGGAGCAGAACTCTGTGGTCTTGAACTACGGGTAGAAAGCGTGGTAGTCCTAAGTACACTGCTATCAGTTCGAGCCGGTTGATATGGTGGTCCAGAAAATTATGCGGGAGTCATATCCTTGGGCTTGTTCACCAATAGATGCGCTCCCCAACCGTGGGTGGAGGCATCTGTTACCAGAGTCATACCTGCGGCAAGCGGGTCCAAGGAGGTCCTCTGCCCGAGGTTGGCCAGTGACGACCACCAGGGCAGGGCCTTCTTCACTTGGTCCGGGATCAAAACCCGCCTATCTAGTTCCCATAAGAGAGCTCGGCGTTATAACAAGCGTTATACCAGGCTGCTGCGTAGTGCGGCCTGGGGAATGACCCTTCGAACCGAGGTCATCATTCCGATGATCCGCATTAGTTCACGGAGGGACACCGAGGGAACGCTGACTAGGCATTCGGCTAGGCTGCTTAGCGCTAAGCAATACGCTTGAAATAGCTAAGCCAAGCTTACCTCTGTGTCAAAACTCCATGCCCAGGGACACCAACTGCGCGTTGGGTGGAGGTGGGACTTGTCGATTTACTAACGAGCCCAACTGGTGAAGTAAATCCTGTTTTAGCCTGACGCATTTGGCTATTACCCCTTGCCCAGGTTGTTGGTAACCAGTAGTCTGGGTACGAATTGAGGTGTACCGACATCTGTTGAAGCAGCAGCACTACCTGTTTCATCACTCGGGTGAACACGTAGGGCGCTGTGCCTAACCCGAATGGGGGGCACCCGAAATTCGAATACTTGGCCCAGCTGGGCGATTCAAAAAAGATGGTAACTTGCTGGGTGCATCGGCAGTGCAGGTAGGCCCCGCTTAAGTCTAGCGGGGCTAGCCAGTCAAAATGGTGGATGGAGAGAAGAACCCTGAATGGTGTCCCCATGTGGAACCGATCGAGGAGCACCTACTGATTCAGTCTGCCTAGGTCCAAAACTGGATGCCTGCCACTTGTAGATTTGGTACTACGAACACATTTGGGTAGAATCTTGGACTTAGTTCCGGCTGATGTACTCTTTCCCCAGCAAACTGCTACTTCCTGTCTGATTTCTTCCGCCTTGCGGGAGTCCCCTGGCAGTGCCCAACAGGGGAGACACTGACGGGGGGAAACGGAGATTTCAGCAGTATCCCGTAAACGGATGTCACCACCTGGAAAGGTCCAGGGATCGGCCACTCGCCGTCTCCAAACCGAACTACGCTGGCGCAATCTATGTACGAAAGGGATATGTGGCCATGTGTTCGGCAGTTGCGAGGGGGGGGGGGTGTGCTCCCTTTCCCCATGAGGTGAGTTCCCCAAGGCCTGAAGTAGTCACTAAGTTGTGACCTGGCCACTCGCCGAACACGTGCCTGTCCCCCCCGGTTGCAGAGGTGAGTGTCAAACATGCTTCCCCTGCTGCCGGGTAGACATCTGCCCAGAGAGGGCGAGGAGCCACCACCTGGCTCTTACCTCCCTGGGGGCGCACCACTACCCTCCCCTCCCATGGAAGGGTATAAGCGCTTGCCTCCTGGCTGACTCTGGCTAGCGGACGACGCCCTAGGGCGTTGTGTTCTCTGTGCTTGGGGTGCCCTCCGACCAACTAGCTTGCGGATTCGATCTGAACCCTCTGGTTCATTGCACTCCGAAGCTCCGAGACTGTACCCACCATTCCCTGAACAAAGAGGGTGGAGGATGTCCAGTCTGCGTCACTGAGGTGGGGACGTACCCCGGCTCAGCTTGTCGGCAAAAACACGTGCTTCTAAGGTCGCGTCTCGTAGCACAGTAGTGCCCCGGCCAAGAGACCCTGGCGACACTAGGGGGTGTCGCACATAGATGTGCGGTGGCCCACCAGTAAAAATGTCGCCTGGTTTAGGAGGCTGGTGTGTTCTGCCTCCAATGTCTCCATAGTGCTGGGCAGGCATAATAATGCGCTCAAGCAACTCTGCCCACAGGGCTGGATGGGTCGTCTTCAATTGGCAAAGACACCCATGGAACGCGGCTATCCCCCCTTTGCCCGGTTTGCCAAATTCGTGGTACCGGGGTCTGGGGAAGGAGCCTTGGAATCCGGTTGGGGCCGTTTCGGTCTAAACCCACGCTATAGGGCCTGATCCCAAAACCACACCGACCGGGTAGCGTTTGGTCCAGTGGGAAGTGTTGCCTAATGTTATCCCCACCCAGGGGCCTTAAGCATTACATCCTCCGCGGCTGACCAACGCCGCCCATCAATACCGTTTGCGTGCTCTGCGCCCTTCTCCGCACTCAGACGGACAGGGAGAGACGTGCCGACAAGGTTGCTTTGGATCCCGACGCCCGTGATCCCATAAGCGTTGAAGCAATCTTAGGTGGTTGCTTTAGGATCAAGGGTGGGGGTATATATATCGTATCACTGGGATCGATGATACTCCGCCTCACCCCAAAAGCGTGGCTCACCGAGTCATACAGATGAAAGACTCTGAGGGACCGCCCGGAGTACCGGCTGTATCCGACGCGAGCGAACAGCATCTCCTTTCACTTTAAATATGTGAGCGGGAGCGTGTTCGACTGTGCGTCTCATGACAGGGTCGGTTCCCTCTGGGGACGCCCGTGGGTCGGTAAGAAAGGAGTCAAAACCCACAGCAGGGACCGAACACAAGGATAAATTCGTTACCGTTGTACCGTTACCGTGTGACGAACCCTAGCTGGCTGAAAGTGGGGGGTGTGTATCAACGTGTGCCCTGCCCTGAAAGCCCTGCCCTGAGATCGGAGACTTGGCTGCCAGCACCCCGTTGGCATTCAGTGCCCGAGGCTCCAGAGAAGGCTCGGTGCAATTAGCCTCAGCCTCGGCCTCCCCCCAAAATAGTGGGAGAGCCGTGACTGGGAACAGGGGTTCCCCGGAAGAGTCGTGTTTGAATGCAAACATGCTTTCATGTCTCTTCCTTCTTGCCCACCAAGGGAACACAGTGGAGACAGTTCGCTCCGACTGTGTCTGATCTACCCCGGCCTACCAGGGACGCAATTGCCCCAACAGTCCTTCGACCAAAGCCCTCAACTCAGAGGCAAACCCGGCGTCGTGCGAGGAAGGGTCCACAAAGAGACCCGCAACAGGCCCCATAGGAGGAGAGACTCCAGGGGAACAGCCTCGCTGCAGCCGGTAAAATCGGGTAAAACACCGCCTGAAAAAACAGACTGTGAGGATGCCCTTCGATCAGCGGGGGAGACCGAGAAAAATATCGGTACCTACTCCGTCGCGCCTCTTACTCAACGTCCTGGTACACGAAGTACCGGTAGCCGAGCGTGAGGACTTTCCACTCATGCTAAACACGCAACTCACTTTAACCAATTTGTTTACTGGACGCACGACCTTGCTGTGACGCGCTCTGTCTCAGCGATTTTGATGGCTCTGAAAGAAAATCTCAGGCCTCAGAACCAGTGAAAAAAACACACTTTCACGCAAAAATCCCGAACCCCACACGTAGCTTTGACAAAGTATCTCGGATGCGGGTTTTACGCTGGTAAATTCTGAATATAACCACTGCACGGTCGACTCAAAACACGAGGAGACCGGAAAGAAAATGGCAGCGAGCCCTGGTGCTGTCATTATCTCTATATATTGCTAAATACATTGTCAATAAAAGAAGACATGCATGAGGGAAACGAATTACAGTTGTAAAAGGTTCCGCCATGAAAACCAACTGGTTACGTAGTGGCGCCAGGTTTTAATTTCTTTGTTGTGAAAAATACTACACACAAAGGGGAAAACGACACGAGAGTAAAAATGACAAGGGAAACTTATCGTACCAGCTACAATGTCGGATGCCGTGCAGCAGCAACAACCCAACCTATAAACCCGGACAGGAAAAAAAAGCAGGTGATCCAGCAGAGCTCGCTAGATTTCATCTCCACTCGAGACCGAGAAAAAATCAGAGTGATGGACGGCTACCTGTGGCGCTGACAGGTGCCCTTGGTCACGCGAGTTTGTGACGTAAGGGGTAAAAGAATCTTGAGGTCATGGGGCTTCCCCTGACCTGGATTCTATCTCTCAGTCACCGGCAGAATCGCTGATTAATGCCTACAGTTCAAAATAGTCATTTTGACTGATCAAAGTCTATGGTGGGTAATTGAACATAGTGAATAGTTGTGCATTTTTAATCAGGTCACATTACCATGAATATATTAGATAGATTGTTTGTCAAATGTATTCAATAAATCACTGGTTGAATGTCTCTAGATATGATATTTATGCGTTTTGAATGAAGTCACATGACCATTTATGGTTATTTAATATGATGATCAGATGGTGTCCAATATCTTTAATAAAGCACTGGTTGAGTGTCTGTATATATGCAATAATTACCTTGTGACGTCATTAATTGCATTCCTGTAGCTGGCATCATGTAAACCATCGGTGCACCCTGCGGTGTTGCAGTAGCTACCATAGGATACTGGATGGATGCATTACCTGGTTGACCAGATTGTACAAAGTACATCTACAAAACATTAAAATATTGTGGTTTTTATTCATTGTAACAATATCATGGTTAGATTATCCATAATTACCTACAAGATATCATAAAAACAATTTTGCAATTTTATGATTATACACACACGACAAATCATGATTACCCATATCTCTTGATTACCCACACGACATCTCATGATTACCCACAGGACATATCTTGATAACCCACAGGACATCTCTTGATAACCCACAGGACATCTCATGATTACCCACAGGACATCTCATGCTTACCCACAAGACATCTCATGCTTACCCACAGGACATCTCTTGATTACCCACAGGACATCTCTTGATTACCCACAGGACATCTCATGATTACCCACAGGACATCTCTTGATTACCCATATCTCTTGATTACCCACAGGACATCTCATGATTACCCACAGGACATATCTTGATAACCCACAGGACATCTCTTGATAACCCACAGGACATCTCATGATTACCCACAGGACATCTCATGATTACCCACAGGACATATCTTGATAACCCACAGGACAGATCTTGATAACCCACAGGACAGATCTTGATAACCCACAGGACATCTCATGATTACCCACAGGACACATCTTGATAACCCACAGGACATATCTTGATTACCCACAGGACATCTCTTGGTTACCCACAGGACATCTCTTGGTTACCCACAGGACATATCTTGATAACCCACAGGACATCTCTTGATTACCCACAGGACATCTCATGCTTACCCACAGGACGTCTCTTGACTACCCACAGGACATATCTTGATAACCCACAGGACGTCTCTTGATAACCCACAGGACGTCTCTTGACTACCCACAGGACATATCTTGATTACCCACAGGACATCTCTTGGTTACCCACAGGACATATCTTGATTACCC